GAAGAGGGCCTTAGTCATGCAGATGATGTGTGTTTCCAGTTCAAGGACGACAAGTGCCTTTGCTTGGTGGAGACGATGAGCGTTCTCTTGCGTGAGTGACCGATGAAGACGGTGCTTCCCTACTCCTGACCGTTGATGGTTGAACTTCGTACTCATGGCCGAGGAGACCATTGTGGTCATCTCCTCTTTGACGACGATGAGAGTCCTTCTGCCTCTGGGTAGCCGGTGAGGGGTGCTGTTTGCTTTATTTGGCCGTTGTGGCTCTCATTTTGTGCTCTTGGCTGAGGAGTGATGGTATTCGTAGCTTAGCGTCCATGTTTTGAGGACGATGAGTTCCTGTCTTAATTTCTGGCCGAGAGTGGAGCATGCGGTCTCAGCCGTTGAGTGCCCTATGATCTTAGGTGTTGCATCTTTGGAGGGAATTCTTCGTTTGCTGACTTTGCTGCGACTGATTTCTTTGATTTTGTCCTCCTGATTTCCAAAGGCCGATGTAGTCCCCCAGTCCCCCACTACTTCAGGCCGAAGAGTAAGCGAGGTGTGAAGGAGTAAAGGATTTCCCTAGGCCGAAGCGGGATTCTTGTATTCCCCTGAATCCAGTTCCTTGGCGATTTCCTGACCAAGGTAACCCTGTGGGAGAACCCTTGGACGCAGGTCGCTTTCAAGAAATTATCATCAGGGTTTTATACAAGGCCGATGGCTGAGGGGTCGCTTTTGCTTTGCTGTTGTGGCCGTTGAAAGGGGCCATGCTATTGGCATTCTTTCTAAGCCGATATGGGCACACCTTGAGGTGTGACCTACCCTTTTGAAGTCATCTTTGTGTTAAGGCCGATGTAGGTGCGCTTTTTTAGTGTGGCCGTTGAGTGGTTGGCCGTTGCGGGCGCTGATTGCTAGCGTGTTGGCAATGGGCTAGTACTGTGGAAGTGGGCCTGACCCGCCTCCTGAACCGGTACCAGCCCAGTGGGCCTTGGGGGTGGTGGCCGTTCATGTGCCCAACGGGTGTGTGCCACGTGTAGTGACCGTTGGGGGGGGATCTATTAATACCCCCGTTCCTCCGAAGAGGCTCCTCATTACATTCGTGAGATAACGAAGTGCTGCCAAATTTTCTAGAGAGAGAGCCTTGTCCTTGTGTACTTCCAAACTTCATATCTTCAAAGGTCAGTTCATCACACTTTCTTCCGATTTATTGTATACCTTGATTTCCTAGGGCCTTGATCTAGTGTTAGTGGAGAATCACCCTTAGATCCAAGGTAAGCCCCTTAAGGCCTTAGCTAGTTGTTATGATGAAACCTTTGGACGACGAGTACTATCCTTATGACGATGAGCCCTCTATTAAATCCCTTGATTACCGGGTAGTAGAGGAGTGTTGCAAGGAGATAGAGGACCTGAGCTCCTTCAAATCAGGGGAGCAGGAGGGTGGCGAAGGTGAAGATGAGGAGGCCGCCTCGTCGTCTGACGGTGAGGACGTAGTGGTCTCCCACGCTGTGGATGGAGCATCTACCTCAGCTGCAATTCCCTGCCCGAAGTCGGTTTCTGCTGTGAAGGGGGCTGCCCCGACGAGAAGGCGTCGGCCGAAGAAGGGTCCAGGTTACTCCTACCTGGACCTCACGAACATTTATCTGATCAAGCTGGAGAGCAGCGCGGATGATTACCTGGTGGCCCAGATGTATGTGGGGCCGTATGAAAGGGTTATGGCCCCCAAGCCGACGAACCACGTGCTGAATCCACCACCGGGGTACTTTGGAGTATACCCCATGAGCTTTGCCAAGGGGCTTAGATTTCCCCTTCATCCGTTCATCACGGAGTATCTGGACATGGTGGGTCTCCCTCCGGCCTTGTTGACCCCGAACAGCTACTCACTCATCGTCGGCTTCCTCCTTCGCTGCGATGAATTGGACTTTAGGCTAACGATGGCCCTTTTTATGAATTTATACCAGATCGGCCGAGGGAGCCACAAGAATTGTGCCGGATATGCTAACCTTCAACATCTGCGGAAGAAGAGGAGCTTTACTGACCTCCCGTCATCTATCCATGGCTGGAAAAGTAAGTTTGTTTTTGTGTCGCTGGGCGAGGGCGGCTCCGAATTTCTCTCTGTCGGCCATGACGGGAGATTTAGCCTCCATGATGTGCCGAAGAGTAGCATTTTGGATGCCTAGGTGGGGGCATTTTTGAAAGGAGGGCCGAGGAGCATGAAAGAGTACATAACGGAGTATAAGATGACCGCCCTCGGCTTCTTCAGGTACTTCGTCTATGGTGACAAGGAGAGTGACACTGAGATATGGTCGAGGATGACCACCACTTTTGAGAAGGCCGATGGCCCGAATTTGGGTGTGCCCGCCGATGCTGATGGTAGTACCCTCCATGGCGTCCTTGTCTAAGTTTTGTTTATCCTCTTTGCTAATTTTTTTCCTTGTTATGCAGACTTTGTAATGGACCGCAGATCCGTTATGGCCCTTGCAAAAGCGAAGGCGAAGGAGGAGCTGGCCGCCAAGGAGGCCGCAAAGCTGGCCGCTGCAAGTGGCGCGCAGCCGAGCTTAGATGAGGCGAAGAAACCGCCCACACAGCCGAAGCAGAAATGGCCAGTGGATGACGGCCAACAAAAGCTGACCGAGGCTGGTATGAAGCCTAAGAAGACGAAGAGGGCTTCCCCTTTGGCTGATGCTGACGCCGGGGTTCTGGCCATGCCGACCGATGATGATGGGGGCTCCAATGCTGTTGTCGTTGTCGATGCGGTTTCAGTCCCCTCGTCGACTGCCATGTCCCAACCGCCCCCTGTCGGCCAGGATTCCCGGAAAAAGAGGGCTGGAAAGGAGCTGGCCGTTGGGACTTACAAGCTCGAAGTTGAGTACCCCGTGAAGGGTGGCGTTTTTAATGACGCCGTTGACGGCCATGATGTGCTTGCTCAAGCCGTCCAAATCGAGGACCGGGCTTACCTGAAAAAGCTTGGTCCAGACAGGATCTATGACGACGGGATGGACCTTGTCGTTCAAGTAAGTTCCTTGTATTATACACTTCTTTGTATCATGAGTCTTCGCATCGTCCTAATCTTTTTTCTTCGTTGCAGGGTGCCCTTATGCTGATGGAGAGCCACAAGCGGCAAGAACAAGAGATTACCCGGTTAAAGGAGTCCGAGCAAAAAGCTGCTTCGGCCAAGGAGGCCATGGCCTGCCTGGACCGGCTCCGGGAAGAAGTTAGGGTCCTGCACAAGGGTGTTGAGGAGGCCGATGCGGCGTACCGTCAGGTGGCGGCCGATAGGGACGACACCTTGAGGGTGGAAGATGAAGCTCTGAGGGGTCGCGACGAAGCCCTGCTTTGGGCCGAGGACGCCGCGAAAGCTCAAGCTGAGGCCGAGAGGGCTGCTGAGAAGGCTGCTGACGGCGCCATTGAGAAATTTCTGGCCGAAGGCTGGAAGGCGGAAGACCTTTCAGCACGATATGGTGTCATGGGGTACCACCCCCTCATCGTTGCCTAGCCTAACGGCCAATGGCTGGGGTTAAGGAGGCGGCGTCGTGTTCTCCACCGTCCTTGGCATGAGTGCGCTGAGGGCGGTGGGATTCTGGGCCAAGCTGGCGATGATGGCCGAGAGTGCGGCCTGAAGCTGAGGGTCAACAGCAGGAGAGGCCGGTTGCGCCGAGGCATTGTCGCCTTTTTCCGCGCGCTTCTTGTCCAAGCTGATGCGGGCATCGGGGGCGCCGCCGTTGAGCTTGTTGCGCAGGCTCCCGCGATGTTGATGGCTTCCTGGAAGACATCCCCCTCGGCGGCCTTGTCGGCCGTAGCATCCTCCTCGTGCTCTTAGTTCTCCTGTGCCTCAGGGATGGCCTTGCTGAGGAGATTGCGGTTTGACTTAGTTCTTCCCATTGTCAGTTAGTTGTGCTTGGCAGCGACGAAGGAGGCTAACTTGATTGCTCTAGCTCTCAATGAAAGCACCAAATGATAGATTATAAGTCTAGAGAGAAGTGAGAGCTAGAGAGAGAAGTGATATAATTGTTGTATTAATGATTTTGTGAACCCTTACAACTACTCCCAGAGGGAGTATTTATAGGAAAAATTAGGGCTGGACTCTCAAGTCTTGGGCTTGGGAGGCCCATTTACAATAGGGTCACTAATGGGCTGGATACAAAGTGCATAGAAAAGATTAATTGTAAATCCTGTTCTGGAGGCCGTCTATGGTCGACGAGGGCATGGCCGACGAAGACCCGGCCGAGTGGGCCGACAAGGTCACCCAAATATATAACCAAAATAAAAGTAGTGGACAAAAATGGGACTATAATAACTTTAATTACTATAATTATATTCAAATGCTACATTGTAGTGACTATAAACTTACTCTTATTGACTTATAGTCACTTTTTTGTTCATAAATTTTTTATTAGTAATATTTCGGGACAAATATGTATTTTTAATTACTTGTGGCTGCGAATAGAACTGCCCTAAATATATGTACTACTCCCTCTATCCCATAATTAACTTCGGTTTTGACTGGGCACGGGGATTAAGATAGTGAGATTTGTGTAGTGGAGAATTGTGCAGAGGAGAGAGAAATGTGTAAGAATGATTGTGAACCACATATTCTTTATCAAAAAAAGAAAGAGGAGAAAAATTTGGGACGGAGCGAAAAGGAAAGAATGAAGATAATTTCGGGACGGAGGGAGTACTTCTTTTTATACGGGCTTAATTGTTTGTAAGCCGAGTGGAGAAGCACTATTTTACAACCCAATAAACGGCCCTGCACGGATCCTAATTAAGAGGTGAGTGAGTTTAGGAAACACAAGACGCGGAAGTAGTCCATTTGATAAAATTTTGGAAATAAATCAATCTTGGATACGTACAAGTCCCAGTCTATAACTGTATTCCGAGTTCTTAGGAAATCAGGAGACCGCAACCGACTTATACGAGTCACACTGTAAGCTATATATATATATATATATATATATATATATATATATATATATATATATATATATATATATATATATATATATATATATATATATATATATATATATATATATATATATATATATATATACCTCACCACAAATGTGTCCATTGCCATTGATTTGTTTTCTTTAATTTACAGACCAAGAAAAAACCGATAAAATAATATGGGAACATCGGAAGTAGGAAACGAGACGGAGTTGGGGACCATATCTCCGCCCCCGCCGTCTCTTTGTCAGAACGGCTGCGGTTTCTTTGGAACGGCGGCAACCAAGGGGCTGTGCTCCAAGTGCTACAAGGACATGTGCAAGATGATGGAAGAGAAAGCTCTGATAGTGCCTATGACCAATCTCAGGATCAAAACCCGTCCGGCTCCCGATGGGTCGGCCGGCAAGGAGGCGTCGCCGCCGCCGGCCCCGCGCGCGTCCGGCAGGTGTTGGAGTTGCAACAAAAAGGTGGGGCTGCTGGGGTTCAACTGCAAGTGTGGCTATACGTACTGTGGGTCCCATAGGTACCCTGAGGTGCATGACTGTACCTTTGACTTCAAGGATCAAGCCCGGGATGCCTTGGCCAAAGCCAACCCTGTAATCAAGCCCCATAAAATCCAGAGATTCTGACATTTTAATTTCTCCATTTAATCATTGTTTCCAGTTTCAATACCTGTGATATTACTCCCTCTCAGGGAGATTATAAACAGTGATAAATTTTATGGGTTCAATTTGCTGTTGCATTTATCAGTTTTTACTTTGTGATTTATTTGGTTAGCTTAATTGTTTGATCGTTTTCTTTAGTGTAATCATTAGTGTTGCAATTTAGAGCCCGTTTGACGGCACGAAAATCGCGCTGTTCTGACTGATTCTGCTGAAATTTATGAAGTTCTGACTGAAGTGGCTGCAATGACTGATTCTGCTGATACAAGAAAAAAATATTTTTAAAATATATTTTATTAATAAAATAAAGAAAAAATTATATGTAAAAATAGCTAAAATGGTCATCTACAGTAACTTCAGCCAATACAGCCAGAAAAGTAACTCCAGCCTTACTTTTTCGGTTTATTACACAATTCAGCGCGCGAAACCAAAATTTACGTGTTTGGTAAAAAAGTTGACTGATAAGCCTGATAAACCGAAAATGAGGGTTGCCAAACGGCCTCTTAATGGTTGCTTTAGATAAAAAGTTTCAAGGAAACAATGCTCCGTACGGGTTCAACTCCTCTCTATTTCTTTGTCTTCATATTTCGTTCATTTTTTTTTACTTCATATCAATCTCTACCTTTTTTTTCTATCTTACTCACAAATCTATCCCAACTTAAACTTTCTCCTCTCTATATCTTTCCTAATGGAACTCTCCGGTCATTAGAGAGGATCAAAATCCGCTCCGTATTATGTTACACGATAACTAGTTATTCGTCTTTTCTAAATGAAGTACTCCGTATGTATTGATGCAAAAAAGTACAAAACAAATAAAAAATGAGGGAAAATGCGGCTATGAGCATACATTTATAAGCAGTGCAATTTATAATTTCAACATAACTATATTCATTAACATTATTATGAAGTATTTTGTCTAATACTCTTATTTTGTACATATATTAGGTATTATTCCAAAATATATGTGAAAAATATTTATAAAAATTTAGTCCAACGTCACATTCTATTGAAAAACTAAAAAGAAAAAATGTCAAATACATCCTCCTACTATTTTCAATCAACCACTTAAACCTTTCTACTTAAAAAACATATCATAAAAGTACACTTTTAAAATACAATCAATCAAGCCATTTTGACCTGCTATAGCAGGTTATTTTTTTAAATTAAATTAGGAATATTGATAATTCTTACAAAAATTCATATAGATTTGAATAAACAATCTAATAATAATATAAAAAATAGTATAAATGTAAAAATACATAAGCATTTTAAAAACGTTAAAATGAAAAAAAATGAAAACTCAGAAAACTACAAAAAATGTGAAAACAAAAAAAATTAAAAACCTTTTAAATAGATCTAGAATATACAAAAACAAGTTCAAAAATATTGACTTTGATATTTTGTAAATTTTTACAATTTTTGTATATATTTCTTCAAATTTTAACAATTTTTTAGAGTATTTAAATATTAAAAATATGTTATTATAGGTCAAAAACTGATTAAATGGTCAAATTGATCAATTTTATAAAGTAGGTGTACTTATATGATACTTTTTTTAATAGAGGGGCTTGAGTGACTCATTTGACCATTTTTCCAAACCAAAAATAAGAGTGGTTTTAATTGGACTAGTTTAGACCAAGATCAAATCATACTAAACGAGATTAGATCAGACTAGATAAAATCATATCAGAACAATTAGACTTCGACAGTTTTAAAATAGACACACATATATAACATACATCTATCAGACAAGGCTAGTTCAGACCAGGTCAAGATAATGTAGACTTAAAAGATAAAATTATTGTCCGATTGAGAACACCGGCAAATAAGAGAAACATAAATCCCATCTTTTAGGTTACCGGCCACTATACGAGACACTCATAAACGCATTCTACAAGCCAACTACCTAGGGTCTTCCATCGAGCTGGTTGGGACGAGTTGGCTATAGCTTTTGGGCTTACCCACTTCATCGACTCAGGTTGATTGCTAAATTACCCACATTTATTCAATTAAAATGGGTAACCCCTGTATGATTGAATTGGATAGGGTCGGGTGTATAAAAATAAATCACTTCGGATTGGATCTTTAATATGACCAACTAATTGTGAAAATAATGAAATGACTTACCCAATATGGTAGCTCTGGGTGTATATTATATAGAGAAGTGTTTAGAATACATTAGGAAACATAATATAAAAGGAATCCTAATACAAGGAAACTTCTAAATAATAAATAATCTATTACATCCCCTCAATCTGTGCAGGGGAAACAACGCGCATATTGTCTCTAAGAAAAATGAACCATTATTGAGCGGATAAACACTTGGTGAAGATATCAGCTAGCTGAAACTGTGTAGGAACATAGCGGACTACAAGATCTCCATGAGAAACACGCTCCTTGACAAAATGATAATCAATGCTGATTTGTTTGCTACGTGCATGCTGAATAGGATTAGTGGATAAATATGAAGCAGATACATTATCACACAACAACCAAATTGGCGCACGAATAGGTACCCCTAACTTGAACAAAATGGACCGGATGTGTAGTGTATCTTGAACTGTGTAGGCAATGGCCCTGCATTCGGCCTCTGTAGATGATCGGGAAACAGTGGGCTGCTTCTTGGATTTCCATGAAATCAGATTAGGACCCAAGAAAATAGCAAAACCAGATGTGGATCGGCTAGTATCAGGACACCCGGCCCAATCAACATCATAATAAGCCTGAAGAGTAGGAGAGAAGCGATCGGGCTGAAGCAGAAGACCATGATCTGGAGTGCCTTGATGGTACCTGAAAATACACTTTACAGCCAAAATATGTGAAGTACAGGGAGCATGCATAAATTGGGAAACCAGGTGAACAACAAAAGTAATATCAGGTTGAGTCATAGTCAAATACTGTAAAGCACTTACCATACTTCTGTATTCCGTGGGATCTACAAGAAGTTAACCATCAGTGAGAGATAACTTGGTTCTAGAAGGGAGAGGGGTGTGAACAGGTTTAAGAGTATGAAGATGAAACCGAGTTAGGAGATCGATCAGACACATATTTTTGCTAAGATGAAAACAGACCATTAGGGAGACGCACAGCTTGGACACCGAGGAAAAAAAATGTAAATCCCCTAAGTCCTTCATAGCAAAATATCGGATAAGACACGAAATAAAGGAGGAAATAAAGGAAGGGGAATTACCCGTAATAATAATATCATTCACATAAAGGAGCAGGTAAAGAATAGATGACCCATGGCAATAAATAAATAAATAAGGAATTATCAGACTTGATGCATATAAAGCCATGAGTGAGAAGAAAGCTACTGAACCTGTAAAACCAGACCCGAGGAGCCTGTTTGAGACCATAAATTGCCTTTCGTAGGCGACACGCATGATTAGGAAACTGAGGATGAATGAAACAAGGTGGTTGACGCATATAGACTTCCTCTGTCAGATTCCCATGAAGGAAAGCATTTTTAACATCTAATTGACGCATGGTCCAACCAAAAGAAATAGTAAGAGATAAAACAATACGAACAGTAGTAGGTTTGACCACAGGACTAAATGTTTCAGAAAAATCAACCCCCGCTTGTTGAGTAAATCCTTGAGCTACTAGATGCGCTTTATGCCTTTCAACAGACCCATCAGAATTAAATTTAGTTTTATAAATCCATTTAGACCCAACCACATTCTTATGATGATTAAACGGAACTAAATCCCAAGTGTGATTGTCAATTAAAGCATTAAACTCCTCAGCCATAGCTGCCCTCCATTTAACATCTTTATTAGCTACTCAAAAACAAGTAGGATCACATGCCACAATATATGTTTTGAGATTAAAAATAGTTTTTGGTTTAAAAATGCCTGATTTAACACGTGTTTGCATTGCATGACCGGGCTGATTCGGGAAAGGAGGTGGCGACGGGTGAGGGGGGCTGAGAGTGTCGGATAAGGGCTGGAGGTCTGAAGGGCTGTCGGGCTGGATTGGGGATGATGGCGGGGATGGAGTTGGACTATCAGGCTATCAGGGTGATGGTGGCTAAGGGGTTGCAGGTCTGCTGGGTTGTACGGGAGAAGGTGGTTGATAGAGAGAAGCAGAGGAGTCGGGGTCGGTCAGGTGGTCCGCAGAGCTAGGAGATGGGGAGATGACTGAGGGCTGTGTCGGCGGTACCAGGGGTATGTGGGTCGGCGGTTGTGCATGGGACACCGGGGCATTGTTTTCAGGCTTAGAAGACGTTAAATCAGAATATGGAAAATAATTTTCATGAAACCTAACATTCCTATTGATGTAGATTTTGCCGGTAAGCGGATCAAGACAACGGTAACCTTTATACTCAGGAGCATAACCTATAAAAACACATAAGACTGAACGTGGTGAAAGTTTATTTGCATACGTGGCATTGAAATTTTGGAAAATAGGCACACCCAAAAATACGCATAAAAGAGAAGTCCGGAGAATGATGAAATAATTTTTCAAAGGGAGATAAACCATTTAAATTTGGAGTGGGAAGACGATTGATAATATAGGTAGCAGTAAAAACCGCGTCTACCCAAAATTTAGCTGGAATTTTTGCCTCGAAAAGCATAGTGCGAGTTAATTCTAGAAGATGACGATGTTTTCTCTCAGCTACCTCATTCTGTTTAGGAGTGTCTGGACAAGATTTTCTAAATAAAATGTCATGATGAGTAAAAAGATTACGCATACCATGATTATCAAACTCACCCCCTTCATCATTTTGAAAAATTTTAATTTTTGAATTGAGAAGATTTTCAGCCATAGCTTTAAAATTGGTAAAATGTTGCAGAACTTCACTTTCATTGCGCATAGGATATAACCAAGTAAATCTTGAAAAATCATCAATAAATAAAACATAATATTTAAAGCCACTGTCAGACAAAACAGGTGATTGCCATACATGAGAATGAACTAAAAATAAAGGAACAATAGATTTATGTCAAACTTCTTGAAAAGGTTAACATTGTGATTTTCTTAACCGGCAAGAAATACAATAATGGGAAAAATTAGAATTGCTAAAAATAGAACTAGAGTTTTTAAGACTTTCTAAAATACGACTG